TGATGGATTGTATAACAAGGCATTTATACATAAATGTATTTAGAGATTTATTTATTTCTTTAGATACAATAAAACTGTTCACGATAGTTAACGGACTGTCATCAGCTTGTATTGATTGATGAAAATAATTTAGACAACAAGATCTGGCTGTAATAGCGGCCATATAAAGAAACAATAATTACAAAAGACGGAAACTAGGATATCTTGGTGAAATTGAACTGTGTGACACAACAAGAAAATTACTTCACAACACATGAACGAAAAAACTATTGAATGACTTATGCGCTCAATGTCAATGATCGATCAACATTGTCAATAACTGTATCCACCATTTCTTCATACTGTGCCTTAGGTCCGCGCTCCATCCATCGAAGTGTATTCAAAATAAAGGATATATAGGAGGTGAAACATCTAATCGCTCCTTGAAATCCGTATTGATAATTCAAATATTTCCAAATCATTGTTACGAGGAGATCTTGAATGTGAAGTAAAAGCGATATGTTCGATATAGATGCTGTGTGCCAATGTTTAGTTGGTATGACGATCGAAGCGCTCTCAGAAAATCCGATCAATAGCATCAGGAGTTTGAAAAGCACACTGTTTGGTTCGAGTCGGAGGAGAAATTGTTGTAGTGTTTCGGCATTTTCAGCTCCGTAAACTTCGGCTGAACCCATCATATATGCGGGATATTCCACAGCTTTCGTTTCGCGTACGACGTAGACTGAATGACAAGCTCCTGTTAATTTCGAATTTCGTTCGGTTAGAATTTGACGTGTGCCCAGTGGTAATTCGTGATAAAAGGGTACACGGTCGATAAAAATTTGAAATGTGGAATAAAAGTAGGCGATAATTTCGAGAGTAACACTCGGTTTTGCGCGTAGTTTAGGCGGAAGAAGTGCTTGTTTTTTAAGCATACATGTTGAGTGTTCAATAACATTGTTTTGGTCGTAGGCGTGAAGAATATTCGATAAGAGATTCCATTCTAAAGTCGTCAACGTTGAACTATCATTCTGTAAAAGATTCAATGGTTTGAGCTAAAAAGAGATTTGTAATCAAACAATCAAAACATCTACATTGAAAACAAACCGAAGGTAATACAAGCAGTTTCTTTTTTTTAACTGGACGATATTTTCCTGGTATGTAACGTATTAAACTTGGATTCATTCCGGACGAAAGACACTTTCTCAAACGACAAGCTGAACAGCCACCACGTGTGAGTCGTGTTATTTCGCAATTATTGTGTAACTGACAGTGTAGATGATTCTAAAATCGAGAAAGTCAATCTCCGGACATTTTGATATCCAAAGTCTTACCGCTGGTTGTAATGCATGGCGGCGAAAGAAAGCTTTGCATGACATACAAGTCATCACCTCAAAGTTAATACCACGTGCTACATCACCACATATTTGACAGATTAGCGGTAAGTTACACGTACGTTTCGTTAACACCATGATTTTAATCTAAAATACCGAGAACAAATTTACAGAATGAAATGAAAAAATACAAGATTGCTTTCTTTTCTTTCCAAGAAAACAAATTTATAAATCTATGGTAATTCTAGATTTGCTATGACGTTGTTATGTAGGTGATACCGCCTGATCTCATCTACCCAACTTGTAGGTGAAACAATAAAGCGACTTTTCCCTGTCGAAAAGAGTAGAAAATTAAGTAATTACGATCTAGTCGTCTGTGCAAAATATTCGTTCAATGTATCAGAATATCGGAAAAAAGACAGCTGAATATATGTTACAACGTGTTCTACTTTGATATCAGAATCCAATAATGATGATGTCTGGAGAAGACTCAAAAATTAATAACCTGTCATGCTGTTGTTATACGATTAAATGGATCGAAGAGTTCGAGATTTTATCGTTGGCATTATCTATCCTTTGAAAAAGTTCATCGAAAGGAAAAAAAAATAAACAAAACAATGATTTTTATCCGTGTTTTTAATCTTCTTGATTTATAATAAGAACACTAACGAAATTGATCAGAAAAAGAACACATTTCAGTTCACTAAATGATCGAATTTCAATGTCATCGGTTGATTAATCAAAGCACCTAAAATACAAAATAGAAAAACAACTGTCAATTCAATAGTCACTCAATCATACCAAAAGAAAAACAATTTCCGCCGCCACCTAATATCAGAAACGTTGTTTTATTCAATAATACTGTCTGATGATTGTAAAGAATTATTGGTTGCTCCGCACATGTGGACTACAATGACGACAATTTCATTTTGGGTCTATTCGAAATGGGTATTCTACTACCGGTATGAGATATTCAACAGCTTCGCCAGTGATTAAATTGATCTTGCATAAACCTGGTGGCCGTCGTTCATTTGCATTAATTCCACCTAATAGCCAAAGTGTATCATCGATAATGTCTGCAGTGTGTGAATATCTAAACAAAGACAATGATTCAGGGAGCATGAAGATTTAATCCTACCTCGGGATGACATGTCCATTGGTTGGAAATAATGTCCAAGTCATGTGATCTTTGCTGGTATCTAAGAACCAGATTTCATTGGTTGGCTCTTCATTTTCCAATAATCCGCCAGTTAATATTGCGAAATGTTTATAAGCACTCAAACGAGCAGAATTTCGATTCGTGGGTATCAATTGTGAAAACTGCGAAGGAATTAATTGACCGTTTGTTTGTAAACAGATTGTATCATTGGTGGATTGTGACATGTTGTTTTTACCACCGAATATAACAATTTTATCAGTTTCTTGAATGTAACAAGAACAATGTCGCCAACGCCGGAGAAATTTGTCATCTTCGTTGAAATTCGAAATTTCAAGTGCTAAAACAATGCAATTGAGTATCATTATGAAATCAAAATATTCTTGATCAATCTTACTGTTAATATTAATAGACGAACATGCATTGAGTATACCTGGACTCTTTCGACCGAAAAATGCATAGATGAAATCTCCCGACACATGACATGTGTGAAAGACACATTCACCTACATTTCACAATAATTATTGTCTGCACAAATTCTCATTCATGATCTTACCGAGTAGATGATTATCTAATCTTTGTATATCACCATTTTCTATGTTTAACACTTCGATTGTTTTCAATCGTCGATGTCTGCCATCAACGGTTCCGAAACCTCCAACTGTCCAAATGTATTTTCCATTGATGAGTATCGATTGATGGCCAAAACGTTGAGCATACGTTATCGAAGTTGGATAAAGTTCGAACTGTAGATCCACTTTCAATTGATCATCCATACAATCTGATTGGAGAGCTCCTTTTCTCAAATGAATAATTGAGACGAAATCTTTCGTCATTTGTTCAAACCATTGCTGTGCTACATTTATTGATGTTTTCAAACCGAAAAGAAGAATATAATGGGCGCATTTCGATTGCCATTCTTCTATTTCATCGAATGGTTCTAATAAATCTATTCGATTATGTTCTTCGGGTGAGAGATAATTCCGATAGAAATTGTGCATATTCACACACAATGATAAATCAAAGCCCTTCAAAGAACAATACTTTGCTCAAACAACAATCAACAATATTCAACATACGAGATGTGTATAACGTTGAACTTGAGATTCACTGGTGGGATATTGATGTATACATTTCAAAGGTGAACCTAATTTCGCGAAATGTGCAACCATAACTTGACCGAAACCATCATCTGGCAGAACCTAAATTCGAAATCACGATTTGAAATAGAACCTTCATTAGAAACATCCTACTTGTTCGTAAGTACATAGAATACATTCTTGAAAAAAGTCAAGGATCCATTGAATAACACGATTACAACTAGATCGACCCATGTATGTTAACACGACTTCACTGATTAACAAAGTCGGTTTAGTTTCATCAACTTTCACCGTTTGTAAAAGTGTATTGAGAGTCAATGAATCACGCATATCAACACCAATCAATGAATATTTTTCATTAGTGACCGCTACAAACAAGTTTTTTTTTCCTTTCAAAAATGAATACTCTCGGTATGACGTTCCTTACCGAAGTTATCTAGTGAACTAAATGTATGGACTGGTTCAAATTGTTCACTTAATCGAGATCGAACTTCTATCAATGCTAATTTCCTTTTCATTACTTCAGGAAAATCAATCTAAATCGAAACAGATTCAATTCATTAGACATCCTTTCGTTCAACTTACGTCAATAAAATGCGTTCGTTGCTTTCGCTCTTCTTCTAATCGGAACCAAGTTGCATCAAATCCAGCACCTAAATTAACAATCTACATCGAAATATTTAAGTGTCAACAAATAATTGAAATCTCATCGTCTTCGCTCAGTTGTTTCAAGAAAGTGAACATTACAAAATTTTGGATCTTTTCACCTATACGAATCGATCTGTTGCTCGAAAATCTACCTGTACTTCTCGTTGATCATAAGTTGAATAGAACATATTCAACGCGTAATCTAACGCTTTCATTCTAATATAATATCCTCTAAAAAAAAGCCAAAGAAGTGTAAACACGTCTTCAATTGTTTGTAAATTCCTACCGATTGATCGAGGGTGAACGGCGAACATCTTTGTCTACGAAATCTCGAAGAAATAAATCATTAAAGTATCCCAATTTCACCATCGAGACTTTCGATAATATACTCGAATCATTCGTTCCTTGTACCTTTAAAACAAAGATTTTGCATTTGACATAGCGAAAAACGACTTACGGCAATGTCATTTCTTGCTTTTCGACTTTTTCTTTGATTAATACGGAAAGCTTCTTCCATCTAGAGAACTGAGAAAAACAAAATAATCTAAATACACAAGACGACAATAATAATGAGGAAAAAAAAAGTGCACAAACGAAACACTGATGTGTATGCATGTTTTAAAGGAATAATAAATAAGAAAAGAAAAACAAATGAAATATATATATGTATATGTCAGTCTATGTGCACGCATAAATAATAAAAATCAAGTCTAACTTAGACTAGACTGATGAGATACGCGTATGTATATAGAATAAGCCCGAATCTTCGTTTTTCGAGTCAGCTTAGACTTTTTGCCGTTTGCGATGTACAACAGAAGCTGTGGTGGAATCAACAGACTTATCACTTTCGATAATCCGTATGCGAACTAATGCGATTTCTTGCCCATTCATTGTTTCCATAGCAGTATCAGCACTACGTTCATCACTGAACATAACATAGCACAATTGGGGATTGGCCATACGAACATCAATTAAGTTTCCAAAACGATTGAATATATCCCGAATGTAATCTTCCGATACGGGGCGTTGAGGCATGATTTGTAAAGTTTTTGCTACCTGAAATGCATTAGTTGCTAGCAGACTTGAAGATTTTCTCGATAAGTAACATACTGGTGCATCAAATGAAGCATATTTTTGCTTTGGTGGTAATGGAATATTACAATAATCCACATATTCTTCTTGACTTCCTTGCAAGTTGCTCATCTAAAAAAGAATATTAAAATTAAAAATAGATAGAAGGCAATTTGCGTTCATACTTGATGAATTAATTGTCCGATGCCTGATGTGTCACCGTATTTGCCATTTTGAGATTGATTGATAAGATCATTAACGATTCTGATTAATAAAAATGAAAGTGAAACTTTTCTTGAACAATTCTTCGTTTATTACTTTTCATCATAGTACTGTACGGATAAAATTTCTCCATCAGGAAATTGAAATGCATGCAGTTTTTCACGTGCATACGTTGCAAATTGACAAGACTTGTATCGTACAATGAAATAATCTAATACAAAATAGAAATCTTCGTATGACGCAAACAAAACAACACAAAACTTTCTCGTTAGTATTAACTTTTTATCGTATTATAATCCATTTTAATCCCGAAGGGGTTTAAAACATGAGAAATTGTTATTGCTCCCGTCAACTATAAGAAAAAGTGCTGTCAGATGAATATTACTCACGTTCATTGAACGTATTTAAACTTAGCGGAGAGCATTCTTCCATGTTTGGCACAAGATCAAATAATTTCGAGATGTGATAATTAGTAATTGTCATTCCACATCGAACGATTAAACGACGTTCACTGTTTATATCTAATAAATGGTAACTGCTACTGACTGGCGAGAGCGTCGAAGAAGATTGATCTAGATTTGAAGAAAAGAAAAATAGAATGTTAAATGGAAAGAAGACGAACTTGATTCGACATTAGATGACGATGGTCGTGATGGTAATGGAAGAAGAGGTGGAGGTGATGGTCGATGATCGTTCGAGTTTGATGATGGCGATAAATGCGGCTTACTTGATGATAGTTTCTGACGGTAAGGAGGCGAAACAGCACCATATATTGACGCTGACGATGGTACTGAATCTTCATTATCACGATGACGTTTCGATGAAAATGGTTCAGCAAATTTCGGTTTATAGCCTGACAGAAAGTTTTTTCATCAGTAGAAAAGTTAAAACTATTTGAGTTTTGTTATGCATACTTGGATCACATTCCTCCAATGCATAAGCTGCTTCCGACGCTTTTGAAAATGATATATATGCAAAGCCTTTATTTTCGCCAGTTAATTTATCAACAATGACTTTGATATTAATAATTGAACCGTATTTCTGTAAATGAAATGAATGAATCACCTTTGAATTGTCCCATGTCATCAGTATTTACCTGAAAAACTTTTCGTAGATCATCTTTAGTCATATGTTTTGATATAACAACAAACAAACGTAGCATTTTCTCGTGTTCATCAGGATCACGTACACTGCCTTCACGACGGGAACTAGATATGATGGCCTACGAGAAAAAAACAATGAATTCATTGAAAGAAAAAGCAAAAGAATATTGTACTTTTAGTGGACGAACATGAGGTGCAATAACTGTTCCATTCATTTCTTCCATAGCACGAGCTGCTGCTGAAGCCTTTTCGTATTTGATGTATGCAATACCTTAGAAAATAAACAAGTTATTTACGAGTTACATTCAAACACAAGATAAACCTTTGCTTTCTTGACTTCGTCGATCTCGTACCATGTGGATATCTTGGATGGTTCCGTGAATTTGAAAAGCATTTCTTAATTCATCTTCGGACATCGCTTTTGGTATAAGTAAAAACAATCGACTAAACGGCGGATCATCAACATCTGCTGTTTTATGAAATGCGGAGGATAATTGTTGACGTTTATTTTGAGCTGATGCTTGCTTCTGTGATGAGCGATGTTGATCTTCGGATGAAACATCTCGGCTTCGGTTCCGATTGTCCATCGTAAAATCAATTATTTTTGCATCTACTGCAAGAGGAGTGGCCGGAGTCGATTGATTAGTTTTCTGTTCGTCATAGTTAACTACCTATAGAAAATATTGGCGCAACAGATGGCGCGACTGTTCTATGTAGTCATTTTCTGTAAACATTGCATCACGTTTGTGTTGTACGATTATTACAAATGAATTTATGATGACATCCGGCTCAATATCATGAGAAAGCGTTTTTATTGTTTAGAATTGTATAAGTCAAATCTCTACAAGTTCACAGTTCGCGTGTACCGAAAGGTTAAGTATAGTGGAAGAGCTTCCCTATCGGATTAAGGATGCCACGTAGAATATGGTTTCGTTTGCTGGTATTGTCGATGGAAATAAGTAGCGGTCCAACCAATTTCACCCGGATACGCAGAACGACGAAGCGGTGGGTCTATGTTGTATCCTCTACAGTAGAAAAACAACCAAGAAGTGTCGTTTTCCGTACTGAGATCAATTACCTTGTTAAATAACCAACGTCTAATGAGCGAAGAATCGATGCTTGGCCTTCGCCAACATCTCCGATGTGCTCTCGTGATGGAATACGATTGAACCATAAAGCATTCGGACCTATATTTAGTTAATAGAGGTATCAAACATCGCACAGAGGAAAGCAACTGGTCTTACCCGAAAAAACGCTATGCGATGGTCCAGGACGATCAAGAAACAGATCGGAAGCACTTCGTTTCAAAGGTCTTCCTGCCCAGTACTCGATTGCTCGTATTTCTCGTTCTGGTTTCTGTCTCGACATAGCCACTTTGCTTTTTCTGCGTTGATGTTTCAATCACTTGAGCACTCTTTTTCAATGAATGCTGTTTTGACAACAACACTCAGCTGTGTATTTTTTTCTTCTCCTTTTTTTAGTCTTCACAGCATTCCAACACTTTACTTTCAGTCACCAATAACAACATACATGTGTCCTCCATAGCACGTGCATCTTTTCATATTAAAGACAAATAAACGGATACTTTTTAACACTTGATTATTGCTGACTGTATTGTGAAATTACATCGACAATCATCAGTTCAAAGCAAAGTGTGCAGAAAACTCATTTACCAATTAAAATGTCATTATCGCTTGTAGCTAATAGATATCCACATGACTTTCCATGTAACACTTGTTGCTAAAGGTGTTAATATGTATCTCATTGATTAAGCAGCTATTTGCAGAAGTTTATTTTTGTACATGTTATCCTTGTAGGACATTCAAATAGTAAGTGCAGTATGATTGCATACTTACCAGCTATCTCATTATATAGTTTCATTATTGTCGTGTAACACCTAGTTGATAATCAGATACCTGTTAATGCGTGTTTGATGACTTAGTAAAATGGCAAAGACAATCATGCTTGGAAACTTGAGGGTGTGTAGAAGACTGTCAAAGAAGAACCAACAGAAATGCGGCAAAGTAGGTGGCAGAGTTCGAGAATAATAATACTCACATCCATTCAGGCATGGAAAATATCAAAATTATATGAACACATCCTACAGTCTCACCCTGAACTTAATGATACTACTGCATCAGTTAATTAGTATATAAAAGATTTTAATAAAATAGGAAGAGAAGTTTATTTCGGTCGCAGAAAGTTAAATCAGATCAGCTTTAACAATGCGTTTCTATTTCCGTTAACAAGTGTTGCATAGTAAATATCGAGAAGAAATTGAGAAAATAAATAAGCACTAAGAGAAAAGACAATGGTAGAACGGACTTGTAAGAATAAAAATTTGTACCTAAAGATCACTTAAGAAAAAAGTTTTTCCTGTAAACGTATGAAATCTGACTACAACTGTCTACTTTGAAAAAAAAAACAAAAAATATGTATAGAAAAAAAGATCTATCACTGTCTATTCGAATTGTCAGATGAATATTGTATTTTCTCTACGAAATATTCAATTACACGGTAAATCAATTCATATTGTCGTTCGGTTTGCACCAAACCTAAGCGAAAGAAAAGAATTCAACTATGATCTTCTTCAGCAACTCACCTGATCGTTGAGATCGAATATGTCTAACTAAGTTCGGAATATCGATTTCGATATCTAATCCTTCCGTACGAATACGATTTAGTATAATATCAATAGTAATCGTTGCTCCCGATCGACCAATTCCAGCACTACAATGAACAATCATTGGCGATGCATTCACATCCATTCCAATCGGATTTGCACGCGCAATTCGTTCAAAAAATTCTAAAAGAATACTCAATTGAGTATTATCACGTTGATTTGCGATCAAAGGAATATCTACAACATCGAAAATGGTACATCTATCTTTTCGACAAATCGAATTACCATGATCGCCCCATGCTAAATACTGCCAGTGGAAAATATCCCATGTTCTTCGATCTTCCGTTGTTATTCGTAATACACGTAAACGATAACAACAATCATCGTCGACGGATGTTGGGGTTGGTACCGCACGATGCGAACGTGATGAATGATTCAGCAATTGAGCTGGACCATAGTTCGTCTCACTGATATTTTCAACAGTAACCGTACCATATTGCTTTACTGCATGTAGTTCAGGCCAATAACGTGCGCACTTACTCTACGAAAGTTAAAAGCAGAAGTGTGTCGGTGTTTTTACTCAGTAATTTTGTGAAAGGTGCATACCTTAATGCCTTCCATTTCTCGCGTAATCATCACAATACATTTGACTAATTCTTGCTGCACCATGTGCCAGAAATCATTGACTGTAGCAGGTAGTGGCCCTTGTGTTGCGATGTATTCTCGTCTGAAACCTTCAAATGATGTTCGAATACGATTTGCATTCATATAATCGTTAACTGAATAATTTCTAAGTACAACGCGTGTTTCATCGTATGGTAGAATGTTACGAAATCGATTTCGAATTCGATTTTCTTGTTTTTCACCAATTCTTTTATGAAACGCTGATGATTGAGATTCCGACTGTTGATTTAGTAATTCAAATTCGACACTGAAACCATTCTTCTGTCCACGTTGTGTTACGACTGTTTTCGATAAATGTTCACAACGCTGATGAATATCTCGAGCGTAAAACCAGTTCGATGTACACGGCTGAACAAGCCGAAAAGCAACTCCATTCATACCGATAAGTATGTTATGTTTCAAATAGAAATGAATTAATTCATCTAGAGATTGAAAACGATCAATTTGTTCACGACGACCTTTTCCATCGAGAAACCAGTGTCCGTTGGAGTATTTGATTTTGATGTTTGCGATATCATCGTATGTTTTCACACAAATTACATAGTCACCAGGTGTTGTTTCAGAATCGCGAACAAGAAACGCACCATTATGTTCACATTTATTCAAAAGTGACATTACCTGAGCATGCGAAATCGGCCCATGATAGTATCTAATTGAGAATGAGAACATGAGCAATCGAAAACAAATTTTGGTTTCAGAATTACTTTTCAAACGTCGGCATCTGTGCTAAAATAGGACTGGTCAATTCGATAAATTCATTATTAATATCCCGAAGTTCTCGTACATTTCGACGATAATGATCAATCATGTCATATAATGTCGAAAAGCATTCTTGTTTTTCTCCTAAATCAAAACCTTCGTTGGTTCTTTGAATACGTATATGTGTGATTTCTCCATTTGCACGTCTTTAAAAATGAAAATGAATGTCGTGCGGACTTCTCACAGAGTTCCTACCGAACCGACAGTACATAAGCATCAGCTTTTGTTCGCGATGGTCGAACAAGAAAACTGCCGGGAATGTTCTTTTCTTGGAGAAGTTTTTCAGCTTCTAAGCCTGAAATGTCACGATGGAAGAAACTTCGAAAAAGAAAATAAGAAATCAATATAATGGAATCGAATATGACTAGATTTACCCGCGAGCTAACCGAGTAGACATATTATTTCAAAAAAATTTCACGCTGCATCGAATGAAAGTTTGTCATGCTTTGCTTTGAGCGAAAAAAATAAAGAACGAACAAGAGCTTGATGATCATGAAATATATCGAGCACGTAAGTATTCAATTAGACTCATCAACGTATATCCAATCAATGCATTTTTCCCTTGAAAAACTTGACATATTGAAATCCATTGGAAAAATTGATCGAGAAGAATTTCCCGAATTGTTTTTATTTTCTGATCGTTCGATCTCTCGTCGGCAATCAATATCAACTGTACAATAACACCATCTGTCGAGAGCATACCTTCTTCCTTGTTGAAAATATGATCGGCGGTCAATTGCTATTTGAATAGATTTGTTTCGTTTCAATTCATTTTGCATTTATAATACACTTGACAAGATTAGTATGTTTGACTAGATACTTAAATAGTCAGGTCGATGATAAGCGGACCTATTCATTTTACATATCAGATGACTCTTTTGAGAATTATAAAGGAGAGAAGAAATCGAAGAAGTTGTCTGTCTGATTTACTATACAGCGTCAGTTGTTTTGTCTACTAAAAACTTTCTTTTCTCGACAGTGCGAACGAAAATGGGGAATACATGTAGATCGGCGAAAACTGATTCAACAATTCGAACGATTGCTGAACCACCAGTCGCTGTTGTTTTGGAAGAGAAACCGGCATCGAGCACAACGACAGTGACAACGACGAAAATCTATCAAACAGACGATGGCTCGACAATTCGTGAAGAGAAAACCGAACAGGTTTGTTGCACTTTTATAAAAAAGAAAAAGAAATAAAAAACAGAACATTTCCTTTTCTCTTCCAGGAAATTATACGCATCGAAAACTAATGTTCAATTCCCTAGTTCATTTACTTGTATCTGTATTTGATATAATTTACTTAATATTGATGAAAAATAAATCTTCTTTAAGCCATCATATTTGTTTTACTTCCAAACATGGATGTTTTGGTTGACGGACCGAGTAGTTTCAAGTTTTGTCCATTGTCAACTGCTGATATAGGCGTACGTTTTTTCACGGTTGGCTCAGCAGGGCCGATCTTTCTTCGAGTTTTCGGTAGTTTGGATCGTGCACGAAGATGAGCATAGAAGTTTGCAA